CGGCACCACCAAGCGCCAAGAGCTTTGCAGCGTCTCCTCCAGCTGAGCAGCACAAAATGCTCCTCACAGGGGTAAAAACCATTTGGAGGTTTAGGAGCGCGGCACGAGGTGCTCCATGTCGTCCTCCAACAGCACCGGCTGGGGCTCCTGCAAACACCACCTCCCACCATTAAGGGCTTCCAAGGGTCCATCCTCAGGAATGAGGATGTCTGGTAAATACCGCACACCCTTCCCCATGGTGTGCGCATGTTATGCGCCCTTTCTGCACACAGATACGCACCCAGCTGACCCCCTGTAACATTCCAGCCATTGGCTCGGTTTGCCTCCTAATTGGACTCTCCTAAACAAGTATTTGCTGCCTAAACAAACGTGCATCCACGGCATCTCCTCTGCAATGCCCTTTTCAGCTGCTGGCACCGCAGTGCAGCCCTGTGCCTCGCACCGGGGAGCCCGTCAGCATCTGCTCGTGCAGCAAAGCCCGTTATTTGCCTTCATTAGCCAACACTTCACACAAGGTAATTGCAATTCTGCTGCTCCTGTGTTACACGGGGGACATGACATTCTCCACTCAGGCACTGCCTGGAGTTGTTTCCACGTTTGGTGACCGTGTGCTTATCAAAACTTCCTATCATACCAATGATACGTAGCGATCTAAAGCAGAATCCTCAGTTTCTTTTAAAAATACCGTATGGATGCAATGTGAACTAGAAGCACCAGCATAGACTTTAGTGATCACTCCTGCAAGAACATTCCCCAGTTACAACAGCAGAAAACTGCCCTGGAAATGAAAGGCACCTGATTTCAAGTGACACACAGTTACGCTGCTGCATGTGTTGCCCCATTCCTATTATATTAAACAGAGAGATAAAAGAAATAAATGGGTAAGATGTGCTCAGGACATTTGAGTTTCCGTGACCTTGTCTTGTAACAGATACACAATTCATCTGTATTGAAAAACAGACACCACTTCTCAGGAAGACAAGAGGCTCTTTAAATTACAAAGATACATAAGAGTCTTGCAAAAGGCTGAGCAACCTGCTCCCCAGGGCTGCTCAAATCTCCAGTTAAATGAGCTGAAAGGGAAGGAGGATCTCTTCATAAATGCGGTCTCTCTGCATGATGCACATTAGAGTCCATCCAGAGAGCTAAAGAGGAAAGAAAAAACTCGGGGTGACTCAGCACTGTGACTGGTTTTGGTACCAGGTTGTGAATATTACAGCCATCAATGCAAAATATGGAAAAGGAAAGGGAGGAAGAAAATGAACCACAAAAGGAAACAACAGATGATATTTGTACACAAAAGGTGATAGATGCTGAGGTTTTCCCATCCCTCTTGCATTGCCTCAGATAACTATTAGCAACATATGCTGCCTTTTGGAGGCTCTGCGACGGTCTCATTTATCAGCCTGCGCTAATGGTCCCCAGCTACCGCTGTCACCGCGGGGCACGTAACGCGGTGGCCGCTGCCGCGACGCCGGTGCCCGGGCAGCCGCGCTGCACAGCCCACGCGCTGCTCCTCCGCCAGCAGCCACCAACATCAGAATGCAGCCAGCATCCCCTCCCCGAGCACACCGTGCATGTCAAACAACTAATTCCCTTCTTGGTTTCACTATAAACATTAAAAAAAAAGTCCCCAGAAAGCTAACACTAGAGCTGTGAGGGCAGCACTTCTAATTTCCTGATTACAATTTACAAGAAGCTAAATAAGCGTAGTTAAGGGACCATAATTGAACAAATGGGGTTTAGAATTTTCCCACTACTAATAATATAATAAGCTTATTGTTTTAATCTTCCCGCTAACCTCTATTCAGCTGTGAGGAGGCAGATACTTCTCCAAACCTTATCTCAAACATGATGCAGTCTTCTGCTTTCATACGCTTTAAACTGAACAACAGAGAAGGTAATTTCTGTAACGCTTTCTTAAATTTCATAAAATCATACATATTCTTCTCTCTCAGTGATTAGAAGAGAAAAATAAGGCAGTTATATTCAAATCTGGCAAAACCCAGGGAAGAGCCAGAGACTGTCCCCTTCTTTGGGAGGCAATGAGAGGGCTGCTGGAACCAGTTCCCTGCAGATGCTGGTGTCAGCTGCACACAGGCAGTCAGCATTCCTGATCTGGGGCACCCACCTGGCCCAGAACTCAGCAGCTC